CGAAACGCAAATAAACGTTCCTCCAAAACGCAAATAAGCAGCAAAATAGTCTACCGAAGCAGACAAAGAAGCACTGAAGGAAGGAGAGCTAGGAATTCCAGCAACTGCCCTACAAGACATCTGCCGGTCATATGACTGGTCATCTGACCGGGAGATCTGCAGCCTTTTGGAATCATATTTTACGTCAGAATTGCAGGGATTTCTGAAAAATCTGACCAGTTCTTTTGTGTACATGTGATCTTGCATCCCTTTTCATCATATGGCCTCGATTGATGTCAACTTAAGGTCTCTTTTTTACTGCCTTAAAATTGTGGGGAAATTTTCACAGCGTTTTTTATGTGTATTGGTTTTTGTTTGAGTGTATTGAGAATCGGTCAGTCAAAAATGTCCGTTTCTTGTAGGGTGGCCTGCTTTGCCAAATCCAGGCTTGCTTCGCTGCTACTGGCGCAGCCGCTGCGCTGCTGAGCGGTCGTTAGTTACCCTACAAGACATCTCCGGTCATATGACTGGTCATCTGACTGGGAGATCTGCAGCCTCTTGGGATCATATTTTACGTCAGAATTGCAGAGATTTCTGAAAAATCTGATCAGTTCTTTTGTGTACATGTGATCTTGCATCCCTTTTCATCATATGGCCTCGATTGATGTCAACTTAAGGTCTCTTTTTTACTGCCTTAAAATTGTGGGGAAATTTTTACAGCGTTTTTATGTGTTTGGTTTTTGTTTGAGTGTATTGAGAATCGGTCAGTCTAAAATGTCCTTTTCTTGTAGGGTAAGTAAACATCAACAAGCGGCTGCTTATACGCTGAGTACAATTGAACACAACGAGCCGGCGCGATTGTGGATAGCTGTTGCCTTGCAGGTGGCTGTTCTAAAGGGATTTATCTACCTGCAGAGCTTCGCTGTCGCTATTGCTACTCTGCCCTGGTGATTTTTCTGCCGGTGACTGCGCGCCTGATAATCGTTCTCTGTGAGTACCACAGTGATTTATTGCTGAAAGGCAAAACAAAGAAACACCCGATTTACATGATTCAAGTACTTGAAAGCAATTCTTGCTCATTCTCTTTTGTGTTGTCTATTTGCTTTTACACGTTTCAATTCTGTTGAATTCAAGTTTTTGGTTCTTTAAATGGGAAGCAACGAAAATGCCAAAAGCAAAGCAAGAAAGTTGAAACGACTTGACGGTACAGATGCGTGTACTCGTCCCCTTTCTTCTCACCCCCTCTCTTCCACATGCGAGCAGAGTTGAATTCAATACTTGAACTGTGTAAAAGCAGTCAAAGCGAAGGCATAAGTTAAGTGATAACCTTACTTAACAGTGCTGCCATCACGCGGGGATTAATTAGGATATTTTAATTTTAATTTATTTATTTTATTGTTGCGTAGTTTTTACTTTTGCGGGTGTATATTTTTGCCATACTCCTTATGGTAAATTGTACATGATGCCGGCAGAATGTAAAGAGTGTACTGCGAAACTGCTTTAAGTAGACGAAATGATATGCTCTGGTGGGTGTGGTTATAATTTTTGTTTGAAATGCAGTAACATAAAGANTAACAAGCGGCTGCTTATACGCTGAGTACAATTCAACACAACGAGCCGGCGCGATTGTGGATAGCTGTTGCCTTGCAGGTGGCTGTTCTAAAGGGATTTATCTACCTGCAGAGCTTCGCTGTCGCTATTGCTACTCTGCCCTGGTGATTTTTCTGCCGGTGACTGCGCGCCTGATAATCGTTCTCTGTGAGTACCACAGTGATTTATTGCTGAAAGGCAAAACAAAGAAACACCCGATTTACATGATTCAAGTACTTGAAAGCAATTCTTGCTCATTCTCTTTTGTGTTGTCTATTTGCTTTTACACGTTTCAATTCTGTTGAATTCAAGTTTTTGGTTCTTTAAATGGGAAGCAACGAAAATGCCAAAAGCAAAGCAAGAAAGTTGAAACGACTTGACGGTACAGATGCGTGTACTCGTCCCCTTTCTTCTCACCCCCTCTCTTCCACATGCGAGCAGAGTTGAATTCAATACTTGAACTGTGTAAAAGCAGTCAAAGCGAAGGCATAAGTTAAGTGATAACCTTACTTAACAGTGCTGCCATCACGCGGGGATTAATTAGGATATTTTAATTTTAATTTATTTATTTTATTGTTGCGTAGTTTTTACTTTTGCGGGTGTATATTTTTGCCATACTCCTTATGGTAAATTGTACATGATGCCGGCAGAATGTAAAGAGTGTACTGCGAAACTGCTTTAAGTAGACAAAATGATATGCTCTGGTGGGTGTGGTTATAATTTTTGTTTGAAATGCAGTAACATAAAGAGACATGAGATAAAAATAATAACAGAAAATATTAATTTGAAATGGTTCTGTAATCAATGCGCGTTGTCAGACACAAATACGAAATTTATTGCGATTAAACATTTAATCAATAAATGTGAACAATCAAAAATGAAAGCTTCTGATGTGAAACAGATAGTTGAGCAAATAATTAGTAATAAATGTTCGCAGATAAAAAGTAGCAGATTTCAACTCATTTTTGGAGCATAATATTGAGGTAAAAATGATCGCTATGAAAAATTAGATCATAAGTGATGTGTCTAAAGAATTCCAAAAGAGTAATGAGTTGCTAAAGGATTTACGCGTAGCTAATGATAATGGTAATACGAAAATGACATATGCTCAAGTTACCAAGGTTACGGAGAGCGCAAGTAAAATTGTTATTAAACTGAAAAATAAAAGCAAAAAAGCTAAGGAAACAAAGGATGCACTAAAAAAGTAGTAGAGCCTACGGACGGCCTTGTAATGAAAGTGAAAGAAATAAATAGTGGGGGAATAATAGTGGAATGCAAAAATAAAGACGCTTGTAGCAGGTACAACAAAAAGTAAAGGAGGGCATTGGAAAAAAAAATTTGTATAGGAAGCCGTCCTTGAAGTGAAACTAACTTAATACTTTTACACTAACAGGTCTATTCTGCGCGTTACCGAAGATTTTGTAACCGGGAAATTTTATTACCAAAAAATGTTACCAGTTCTTGTCACCGCGATTCTAGGAACGTTGGTAATGCAGTTAAAATATTCAGCGATTCAGCTATGAAGAATTGTGCAAATTCTGGCATTGCATATTTCACGGGGCAATACTTTGTTACCAGCTTATGAGATGGTAACAAAATTTACCGGTTACAAACTTTTTATTACCAGCGCAGAATAGACCTGTAAGGAGCGCTTTGAATGAGTAAATACTAATATACTCGGTATTTAGTAACATCCAAAATACTTAGTAAATACAATTTCTCCCATCACTGCTATGTATGTACAATGTACGTAGATACCAATATTTTAGGTTCCTTTGCTGGAAGTCCAGCATTTTATCATAAAAAAACTCGAGGAAAACTTCTAACCTTTATGCATCTCCCAAACAAACAAATAATGCTATACACTTGAAGCTCTGAATGTACGTTCGGGACAAATGTACCAACCCGAGAAAATTTAAAAGTCTCCGTACTATTTGAGCACACCTGATACATGTAAGTATACAGTTTAATTGTGAAAATAATGAAAAGGTAAAACCTTAAATTTTTTGCCTACTTTAGTCAAGAGCTGAATCAGTGATCGGACTAAAAAAAAAATTGTGGTAGAATCTGGAAAAAATGTGGTAGATTTCAAAAAACTCGGGTAGATCTCAGGTTTTGGATCAAACTTTGTACAAACATTAAAAAAAATCCTGCAAGGTTTCACCTAAGTTGCAAACATTTTAATTAGAATCTAAAAAAAAATTATTTTAGTATAATAANAAAGCGAAGGCATAAGTTAAGTGATAACCTTACTTAACAGTGCTGCCATCACGCGGGGATTAATTAGGATATTTTAATTTTAATTTATTTATTTTATTGTTGCGTAGTTTTTACTTTTGCGGGTGTATATTTTTGCCATACTCCTTATGGTAAATTGTACATGATGCCGGCAGAATGTAAAGAGTGTACTGCGAAACTGCTTCAAGTAGACGAAATGATANTAGATTGAAATTGCTAAAAATTGCGTTGAGTTTTGGCAATATCTTTTCTTGACAGTGTAAAGCAGTTTCTTCCATATCAAGATAACTTTCGAACATATTTTGAGAGATTTCTGCAACCTTGCGGAGTGCTGCACGTTCCAGAAACCGCTACTTGGGATTTGCCGATTTTGACAATTCTCAAGGAAAAGTAAACCACGCTTTAGAATCTTTAGATGCACTGAAATTTGCTAATACTTTCACAGAAATCGCCGTTTTTGAACACTTGTTATAAATCATACATTTTGCAATTTAACACAATAAAACCACGTATCCTGTCGAAAAATTCGTTATTGAAAAAATTTACTATTTTACAGATTATTTTATCCTTACATTTGCTCTTGTTGTTAATGTTTAGTGTTGGACAATTTTTGCTCTTAAAATTAAGAAAATCATGTCGAGCAAAAATAAAAATACTCCAAAACGCGAATATGTAGTAGATTTCAGACCTTGTGTGGTAGATGCTCAAAAAAGTGGCAGATCTACCACAATGTGGTAGACGTCCGATTACTGAGCAGAATCAAAGTGGAAAAAAGTAAAGTTGCAAATAGATAAATTCTCTTAATATGAGACACAATTGGCAGTTATAGCTATAAGAAAGTACGAGTCCGGACTTTCCATTTTTACCAAATATTAGTTAAAGACGACCCTAGTAACAGATTTGAGAGAAGAATTGAGGTATTTTCGTTGTCGGAAAGTACCTGATTTAGTTATATGCTGTAGTATGTTGGACAAACAAATTGCAAACAAAAAAAGCTGAGCATATTTACATACACAATTTGCAAAATTTTGTAAGTATAAACAAAATTAAATGTTCGTGTTGTTGTCAGAAGTCGACAGTTCTAATAATTTTAGTCCGAGAAATACGGGGTCATACACAACATACTTAAGTATAAAAAAATTTTGCGATATATACTTAATTGCGTCCGAATATATTTCTTTCTTTCTACATACCTGAAACGCTTCAATTGGAACATCATTTAGTGGCCCGTTAATAATTCTCAGAACTTCCAACTTGTTTCCAATATTTTGATTCTCAAAAATGTTTTTATTGACATTTTTCAATGAATGGCCGTCAATAACAAGTTCCTTTGCATTTCCTAATATCTGTAAATATAAGATTATTTATGTAAGCTTTTATCAAAGATGTCAAGATATCACCCCAAATGACAGCGGTGTAAACGATGATAGATTGCTGTGTACAATACGCAGTTCCTCTATAGTTTTGTTTACACCAAAAAAGGGAAAGTTCTCAATTGTTGCGATTGGCGTATCAGTAATGGTAAGTAATCTTGGGCTTACTTTAGAAAACACTGGCCCGTATAGACGTACTGAAAAGAACCCCGCTTATGTTAGCGTGTTCATACATAGAGGAGTTTGTAAAGTTTTTAATTTACCAAAATGTCCTTTAACAATTTCCAAATGCTCCACTGGTGTGCCTAAAGCTCCAAGGTTTTCAAGCGCAACCGAGAGTGTCGCTAAGTTTGAGTTTTCACATTTCACATAGATACCCGCATCAGAGTTTCTCCAGCAAGTGCATGGGTATATGACTAGAGCCCTTGCCAAACAGATAACATTATTTGATTTCACATATGTACAAATGGACACATAAATATTTATTCAAAAGCGGTTTTATGCACTTACTTTGTCGGGCACTTGTATTTGGGCTCGTTAAATGCATATTCCAATTTTACCAATGCACAAAAGGGCAAAATGAAAATTAAACAAAGCAAAAAGTTATTCATAATTCTTGCTTAAACCGGTTTCATTTGGAGAAAATTCGACATTGACGCAAATGCGAATATATGTATGTATGTATGCATGTATGCAGCTACTTTGTGGTTCGTTGCTTAAGTCTTTCGTTTTTTTCACTTTGAAGCAATAGAAACTGATTTAAAATTTTGTTCAAATGTTAACTGAATTTCCTAACCTTGGACATGAAGCAAAATAATTAATAGCCTGACTCCAATGAACAACGAAATGCCAACATATTACAAAATTGTATTGCTTGTGTTTCACTTCTAAATCATGTCACTGATGTTGGTTTTTACCACATAGTGAAAGAGAAAATGTACCTGTGGATCGCATAGCATTCAAATTGAGTTCAACACACGGTTGCCACTTTGCTAAGATTTTACCAAAAATTTTAACTTTTTTCTCTTAGGTAATGTGGTAACTTCCGATCTCATCTGGTAACTTTAAGATTAAATGCTCAAACACATTAAAATAAGTATTATGAAATATCATACAACATCTTCGGTAAAGTTTGATGCGCATAGCTAATTTCTTATGGGAGGAATTTATTTTTGATGATACATACAATGAGTTTGATTGATGGTATTTGTACACACATTCAAATGTGTGGACGCTAGGGTGGTATTTTTTTTCGTCCACCCCCAGAACTGAAGAATTGCGAAAATTAAGAGATCCATATTTTTTTATTTTGAAATTGATTAAAATTTAATGGCCCGCCAAGCTTTAGAGTATATTTTATATAAAGATAATGCATTTTCCGTAGAATTAGCATAACATCGTTAAAAGAAAGATATGGATCGAACAAATAATCGTCTAATTATAAAGTCATCATGCATATCATGTATGTCATGCTGTTACGAACACACTAAATAATTATTTTTTGTATTCAAGAGAAAATCGGCGCTGAAAAAACAGTGAGTAAACATTTAAAGTTAAATATGGGCTAATCCAGCGAAAATTATACCGCGTAAATAAATAAAAAGTCCTATATCTAACTCATTTATAGTCCGATTTGGCTGCTACAGAAACAATTTTGCCAAAAATGATCTCGTTAGATTGCGCCAGGGTCGAGATATTTGAAAAGCCGTATTTATGCTTATATTATATGGGCTAATCAAGCGAAAAGTATACCGCATAAAAAATAAAATAAAAGTCCTATATCTAACTTATTTATAGTCCGATTTGGCTACTTTTTACAACGCTTTTATCAACTTGCAATGTTGTATGTCCAGACCACCATACTATAAATATATCAAAGGTATTTATGGCAAACCTAGTCTAGATATCAACCTCGTCGTAGGTATCATAGCAAAGACATAACATTAGAAAAACTCTAGAGATAGATGTCGCCTTGCCAGAAGAAGTTAAAAATATGCACTACATACGCTACAGCGGAAATGGACGACACGCCATTTCTTTAAATGAAATTAATTGCTGCTATATGTATGTATGTACATATGTAGGCATATTCTAAATGGGAGCAAACAACATTCTGCTTGCAGTCTTCTGTTCTCTTTTCAGTGCAAGTTGAATTATGTTAGTATCTATTGCAAAATTTTATACAGACAAGATTAAAAAGTATAAAGTAAATTTAAAAAAATACTTTTTAATGTACCACGCTTTTATAAAAGGACTAAAATTAGAAAATAATATTTCTCAGTCCCATAGAACTTGTTTTGATAACTTTTGAGTTTGAAATCTTAGCAAAAGTCATTATAAACAATTTATGAGATTGAAAATGAAAAGCGTTGGGCGCATGTAATAGGTCTGATTTGAAATTGAAGAGTAATATATGTATGTATGTGGGTAAATTAATAACGACCGCTTAAAATCGATCTCAAATTTGTACTTTCGCTGTAGAAATTTTAGGTCTATGTTATGTATGTAGTTTGAATATTGTCAATTAAATCTAATGCTTTGTTTTGCATGCGCTCCACGTTTTTCGTTTTGAATCTCATAAATTGTTTATAATGACTTTTGCTAAAATTTCAAAATCAAAAGTTATCAAAACAAATTCTATGGGACTGAGAAGTATTATTTTCTACTTTTTAGTCCATTTATAAAAGCGTTGTATATTAAAAAGTTTTTTTNTCTAGAATTTTTTACAACGCTTTTATCAACTTGCAATGTTGTATGTCCAGACCGCTTTGAATGTTGTATGTCCAGACCACCATTTATACCAGCTGCATTTTTTTGTAAGCGAGCGACAAAAGAACGCTCAGCTCGGGTAAAATTTGCTTTTAGCTACTTAAACAACCCTGTTGGTAGCTGGCAAGAAAATGTGATTAGTTTAACGGGATTTAGATACAAAAACCTATTTAAATGAGTAATTATGCGAGGTATTTGCGCAATATATATACTTTTTTTAAATATAAGTCACAACAAAAATTTCCCTCTCCACTTTCCCATTAACAATTCACAATAGAGCAGTTTTTTCACTTACCAACACTAGCCTTCAGGTCGCGTATTTTTTAACCGACCTGGCTGAGCTCGGATAAATAGCCGAGTGTGTGTTGTTGCTTTGCGTGTATTTCGTCATTTAAGCGAGTGTTCTTTTGTAGCTCGGTTGCAAAAGAATGCACCTACTATAAATGTAGCAAAGCTATTTATGGCAAATTCTAGACATCAACCTAGTCTAAATATCAACCTCGTTGTAGGTATCATATCAAAGACATACATTTAGAAAAACTCTAGAGATAGATGTCGCCTCGCCAGAAGAAGTTAAAAATATGCACTACACACGCTACAGCGGAAATGGCCGACACGCCATTTCTTTAAATGAAATAAACTGCTGCTATATGTATGTATGTACATATGTATGTGCAAGTTGAATTATTTTAATATCTATTGCAAAATTTTATTCAGACAGGACTAAAAAGTAGAAAATAAATAATATAAAAAAAACTTTTTAATATACAACGCTTTTATAAATGGACTAAAAAGTATAAAATAATATTTCTCAATCCCACAGAATTTGTTTTGATAACTTTTGATTTTGAAATTTTAGCAAAAGTCATTATAAACAATTAATGACAGTGAAAATGAAAAGCGTGGGGCGCATGTAATACACTTGAATTGATATGAAAAGTAACATATGTATGTATGTGGGCATATGAATAACGACCGCTTAAAATCGATCTCAAATTTGTACTTTCGCTGTAGAATGTTATGTAGTTTGACTATTGTCAATGAAATCGAATGCTTTGTACTGCATGCGCTCCACGTTTTTCGTTTTCAATGTCATTAATTGTTTATAATGACTTTTGCTAAAATTTCAAAATCAAAAATTCTGTGGGACTGAGAAATATTATTTTCTACTTTTTAGTCCATTTATAAAAGCGTTGTATATTAAAAAGTTTTTTTTTTATTATAATGTATACTGGCTATTTATGTAAACAGAAACATTTTTGCCAAAAATGGTCTCGTTAGGTTGCGTCAGGGTCGAGAAAGTTTGAAAACCCGTATTTATGCTCTGATTTGTTTCACATTGGGCACGTTTTGTTGAAACGTAGTAGGACATAGATTAGCAAAAATTTAAACCACTGGTGGCGATGATGTTAAAATAAAAAGTACGTTCCACATAAAATGCACGTTTTCTTCCCGTTAAAAATTCTTTCAAGAATAATAATAACAAAACTTTTTCAATGGAAATTTTAGTAGCGTAATTCCAGGTAACGTCGTCAGATAATTCAGCTGATTTAACATAACGTCGCCTTAGAGTGTAAACCTGCTAACGACCAAAAAACATATTTTACTGTAGAGGCAAAACACTAAATATATCTTTAACTCTTAGTCTAAGGGGCAAATCCTACATATAGTAGTAACTATACGTGAAGTATTCCTCTTTCAAATTAATAGTACAAAGACCACATATAAGATAATTTAAGTAGGAACTCAATAATGCCAGAAAGTATGATACATATTATTCAATGATGAGGTAAATTGTTATAGTAGGCGTGGTAATCTTCAGGAAGTAATCGTTTGAAATACTGGAGATCTCATACTTTCTGCGAGCAATCGTACGCCTACTCTCGTATAAATTCGGAAGGTGAGAAAACGGCAAGGAAACAGCTACTAGGGATTTTCTTTGCGGTATTACTTCCCATTCGTTGGAGAATCTTAGTTTTAAATGAATGCCGCCACTTGGTGTAGACCGTAGGGCTCCTATATCAGTTACTTTAGCAGCATCTTTGCCGCGACCGGGACGAATGCTATTAAAGAATTGAACTGTGTTAAAGCTTTTAAAGAACGTGTAACTAAGATAAGTTACGTCATATGGTTTTGGATTTTTTCTAGCTGATCTACATACTTCAATGTATTCTGCAGGAACATGGATATCTCTTTTCTTAAGTGCTCGTTCGATAGTGGTATGGATACAATCAGCTTCCATTTGGGTATGGCCTACTTCAAGAAACTTTTTCTCAATAATGATATTGTTATTTATAGCTGTGGATAACAAAGCATTAGCCATAATACTGTTTCGGTTTTGATATGTGCATTCGTCGGAACTATTATTTGGTACTACATTTTTTTCTATCAAATCTACCCACACGCTGGAAAACTCTTCTGCATTTAATCTTCCTTCTTTTTCGTTCCACAAGTAACAATAATTTCCTTGAGATATAAAAAATTAAAGCTTATTCGCTGGCTATTACCTTGGCTTAAACGCATAAAGTAATACTCTAAGATAGAACAAAATCGAGCGACAGAAGCACAATATGTTGGATTTAGCAGTTGAATTTGAACTGATTGTACTTAGCAGCTTTACTCATCAAACAATTTTTGACAATTATATTTTTATATTGACGTATTTTTTTGCTTGCCAACTGCGAAATCGCCTACTCCTTCGAACTGCATCAAAAGGACAATTTTGCCAAAAAACGGATTTAGCAGGTTTACACTCTAAGCCGACGATAAAGCAGAAACGATTTTTACATTTCCAAACTTGTAAAATTAACCTTAGACATTTCCAATATTACTATAAAAGCTTTTATACAAATAGTCTTGCCAAATTGGCAGAGTTTAGCAATTTTGTAATCGAAGTCAAAATCCACTTCTACTTTTTGTAACGTCACGCCAGCGCGTAAGTTTACTAATATCTTTAAATCGCTTCTACAAACAGTTGTAATTTTTTTACTGAATAAGGGGTGTAGGGTTAATACTATTTACTATTGTACTTTGTTCATTTTTGTACTTTGTTATTTTTGAAATTATTGAATTAAGTTCTTTTTCAATTAATATAAATCAAAAAGAAAATTTTTGTTACTTCAGAATTTCTTCTTCTTTGAAACTTAAAAT